TTTTCTGAATTAAGTTTTTGAAAATTGACTTTTTTGTTTTCGTGTTTTTTTGTTTTTAATGAATATTTTTTTTAAATTTTTAAACTTTTTTTATAATTTTTTTAGATGCACCTTACTTAGATGTATCTAAAGAGTAAAAAATTTGTAAAAAAATATTTTTTAAAAAATTAATAAATGCATAAAAATACAAAAAATGTATTGAATTCTTGTATTTTTTTGTATTTTTGGTATTTAGTGAATTTTTAAAGATTTTTTTACAATTTTTTTACTTTTTAGGTGTATTTGTTATGTGTCTAAAAAGTAAAAAAATTGCTTAAAATATTAAAAAATTTTAATAAAAATAAAAAAACACGAAAAATAAGAAAATAGAATTTTCTGAAAAGTGTTTTTTGAAAAGTGAAAACAAGCAAGGTGAATTTTCATTTTTGGAGGTAAGGTTCATTGGCCCCGTTTGGTTAACTGTTAAACAGCTTAAGATTATAGCTTAACAGATATAAATTATAACTTTAATCAGAAGTTGTTTAATCTGTTTGGTGTAACTGTTGGTTATAGATTTAAGTGTTGAGTGTGTTTGTTAAAATAAGCTGTGAAATAGATTTTTCAATTAATTTTATTTTTGTTTGTCTACATTTCTCATAAAAAATAATAATAATAATCTATAGTCCATTTAGGTCTTTTTCTATTTTTAAAAATAAAAAAAAAAATTTAAGAGTAGAATAAAAAATTAACATGTCCACAGCAGAAGCTGATAATCAGAAGTAAGGGTGAACATTCTCAGAATCAGTTTTTTGAGTTAAAATAAGTTGTTAGAATCAGAAGTGTTTGAAATAAGTTAACCAAACAGTCTAAAATAACTTTTTCAAAGCTAAAATTAATAAAAAATAATAATAATAATCTATAGTCCATTTAGGTCTTTTTCTATTTTTTAAAAAATAAAAAATAAAAAAATTTAAGAGTAGAATAAAAAATTAACATGTCCACAGCAGAAGCTGATAATCAGAAGTAAGGGGTGAACAGCTTCTCAGAATCAGCTTTTTTGAGTTAAAATAAGTTGTTAGAATCAGAAGTTGTTTGAAATAAGTTTAACCAAACAGTCTAAAATAACTTTTTCAAAGCTAAAAGCAATAAGTTAGCTCTGCAAAGCTGAAACAAATACCCCCATTACATCCAGACAATTATCAAAAGTTTAAAGTTTAGGATGGTGAATGGAGGTTGGATTCCAGTGATCAGAAAGAGGATGGTAGGAAATCAGGATGGATATCGCAAGAAGACAGAGGTGGTTACCATTTTTGTGGACAACATCCCTGAGTCCATGGATGCTCAAGGATTATTTAATCTTTTTAGAAAGTTTGGTGTGGTAAAGGATGCGTTCATACCAGGGAAGAGGAGAAGAGTATTAGGTTCCAGATTTGGTTTTGTTCGATATGATTGTGAGGTGGCGGCAGAGATGGCAATTCTGAAGGCTGATGGTTTGTGGTGTGATAACAAGGCGCTGAAAGTTAAAAGAGCAAAGTTTCAAAAACCTCATGCTCTGGGCTACCAAGAGAAGGGGATGTTGAACAGAGGGGATGATTGCAGATTGATGTATCAGCGGCCTCAAAGGCAACAATGGCAGGGTATTGGAGTTAAGCAATCATATGCAGAAGCATTAGTAAGAGGAGGAGCAAGTGACAGCGAGAAAGTGGTGATTAGAGCGTATGAAGAAAGAAACGGCTGGCTTTATGAAAGTTTAGTGGTGAAGTTGAGTAGTTTTTTAGTTGTGGAAGATTTTAAGGTAGAACTATATAATAGGGGAATGAGAGATGTGATTATTAGGGATAATGGAGGAAGAATAGTAGTGCTAACTTTTAATTCTATTCAACATATGCAGGAAGGAAAGGAGCAAATAGGTAGGTGGGGTAAGAAGTGGTGTGATTCAGTTGAAGAGTGGAGGAAGAGCCAATTTGAGGAGCAAGAGAGATGTGTCTGTTTAAACTGCTTTGGTATCCCAATTAATCTTTGGAGTGTGACGACCTTTAGAAGCATTGGTAGCCATTGGGGGTCTGTAGTTCAATTCCAAGAAGATATTAATAGCCCACAAAATTTTCAACATGGAAAAGTACGAGTAATCACAAGGTGCATGGAGTTGATTAATTCGGTAGTTTTTTTGGAATTCAAAGGTAAATATATACCTGTAAGGATCTGTGAAGAACTTCCAAAGTGTTTATTTCCTAGTCCCATTAAAAGCCGAGGGAAGGAGATGCAGCAGCTGAAATCCAAAGGTTATGAGATTGTGGAGGTGGATCAGGTGTCTGGCAATGGTGGGAAGACAAAGTGTGATTACAGAGGTACTGTAGCAAGGGAGAAGGAGGTAATAGGTGAAGATGATGAGGTTAGTAGGGTTCAAGAAACAGTGGCAGGTAGATTAGATGAGATATGTAGGGGATATGATGGGAAGTATGCACCAGCCGAAGCTATCATAGGGGTGAGCATGGGAAATGGTAAGGTAGGTGCTGGGTCTAAAGAAGAGGGTATGCTTTAGGAAGTTAACTCACAACAGATAATGATCAGCAAAATTCAAAAATTGGATGGGGCTGTTGACAATACTGGACTTGTAAGTGCTGTGAATGGGCCGGAAGGGGTCACACCCAACATAAATTTGGAAGTATTACTTGAAAGCCTGCAGGTTGGGCCTGAGACTAGCAGATTAAAATTGGGGATAGGCTCGGATTTGAGTGACTGTGTGGCCCAGTCCTAACTTAGACTATTTGTGACCCATTTCTCTCATATATCACATTCCAGTATGGTCAAAAGGGCTGGGAAAAACACAAAGAGCAAGGCAACAGTTGGTAATAAAGTTAGTATCTCAAGGTAGAAGGACATGCGGATAAAGAAAGGCATCTGTTCTGTAGGAGGCCATAGCAAACAAAAAAGCGTGGTTGGAAGGCTTGGTTTTCAAAGAGGGGCCCTGTTCAGAGCATCAGCAGTAGCAGCTGCAACTGCTACTTCTTTGTCTACGTCTCAGAGTCATGTAATACAAAGGAGGAAAAATTTAATAGAGGAAGCACGTGCAACAGTGAAGATTGGAAAATTGTTGGGTTTGCAATGCCAAGGTCAAGAAGATGAGCTAGTCAACAAAATAGTGGAACTTAAAGAAAATGATCTGCAAAGAATTGCAGGTGAAGAAGGGGCAGTCAGACTTTAATAGATTGCTAATAGATGACTAAGGGGAAAATATAAGTTTATTATGCAGATTTTATCTTGGAATGTCAGAGGGCTGAGAAGGCCACAAAAGAGGGGCAAAATAAAGAATTTGGTAAAGGATAAAAGAGTGGATGTCTTACTTTTACAAGAAATAAAAAGGAATTCAATGGAGGACCATTTTGTGAGATCCATGTGGCCTTTTGAAGAGATGGGTTATATGATGGTGGATTCAGAGGGAAGTGCAGAAAGGTTGTTGTATATTCGAAGGCCACAAGTTTTTGAGCCAAAAGACTGCTGCAGCAGTAAGCATTTTATTATACTTTTAGATACCTAGGCTTAAGATTTTGATTGTGTGATTGTTAATATATATGCTCCAAATGAGGTGTTGAAGAGGAAGAAATTATGGGATTCTCTTACAACTCCATTTTCTAAACCCATGGTGTGTGGGTGGTGATTTTAATGAAATCAGATTATTGTGTGAGAGAAAAGGGTGTTCAAGAAGAGAGAGGGGGATGAAGGAATTCAATGAGTTTGTGGACCAGATGAAGTTATCTGATCTGCCTATGTTAGGCAGACAATTTACTTGGTGTGATGCATTGGAAGGGGATATGTGGAGTATGATAGATCGTTTTCTGTTAGATTCTTTATGGCTGGAAAATTTTTCATTTAATCAATGGGGTTTATCCAGAACAATTTCAGACCATTCTCCAATTTTGTTGAAGGAAGATGATAGGGATTGGGGACCTAAGCCATTTAACTTCATTAATGCTTGGACATCATATCCTACATTCTTGGCTGAAGTCAAGCATATTTGGGAGGCCACCCAGGTTACATGGTGGGCAGGGTATAGATTAATGAGGAATTTATCCTCTCTAAAGAATCATTTAAGGGTGTGGAATAGAGAGGTGTTTGGCAATATAGAAACTAAACTGAGGTCAGCAGAACAAGAACTACATGAATGGGATTTGAAGGCAGAGACTAGACCTTTGGATGAGCTGGAAACAACAAGAAGAAGAGAGATTAGAAGTCAGGCTTGGAAACTTAGTAGGAACAAGGAAATAATATAGCATCAAAAGTCTAGAATGCTGTGGGCTAAGTGTGGTGACAGAAATACTAGATTTTTTCATCTTATGGCAAGTAATAGGCAGAGATTGAACTTAATAGATTTTGTTATAGTGGAGGGAGTGAGACATGAGGATCCAACTCAGGTGAAACAAGCAGTGGTTAGCCATTTCAGAAAGCATTTTGTTGAAAATTAGACTTTCAGGCCACAGATTTCTGGACCTTTTGCTACAATTTCTCCAAAGGTAGCAGTAGGTTTAGAAGCAATGTTCACTGAAGATGAGATCTGCGTAGCTATTCAGCACTGTGATGGGAACAAGGCTCCTGGCCCAGATGATTTTAACTTAGCTTGCATTAAAAAATGTTGAAAAATAATGGAAGGTGATATATTGCAAATATTGTATGAGTTTCACACAAATGGTAAGCTGTCAAGGGGTGTTAACAGTTCATTCATGGTGTTTATCCCCAAGAAGGATAATCCCATAGGCTTGGAGGACTATAGACCCATCAGCTTGGTTACCTCAATTTATAAGATTTTGGCCAAGATGCTATCTAGAAGATTAAAGAAGGTCCTTCCCTCCGTGATAGATGAAATGCAGTCAGCTTTTGTCAGTGGTAGATATATCCTAGATGGAGTGTTAATAGCAAATGAAGTTGTAGATTGGTGGAAAAAGTCTACGAAGAAAGGCATTATCTTAAAATCGGACTTTGAGAAAGCCTATGATTCAATAAATTGAGAATTCTTGTTGGCAATGATGAGAAATTTTGGATTTTGTGACAAATGGATTAGGTGGATGAAAGCTTGTATTTCTCTAACTTCGGTGTCAGTTCTTGTTAATGGTGCACCTACAGAGGAGTTCCAGCCACAAAAGGGGTTAAGGCAAGGGGATCCTTTTCTTCCATTCTTGTTCATTATTGCTGCAGAAGGGCTTAACCTGTTACTAGCTAGAGCTAAAGTACATGGATTATTTAGGGGTGCTATTATTTGTTCCAATGATGTGAGTGTCTCACATCTTCAATTTGCTGATGATACTATTATATTCTGTAAAGGGGATAATGAGGATATTTTGAACATTAAGAGGGTGTTGAGATGTTTTGAAGTGATGTCTGGGTTAAGAATTAATTATCATAAAAGTGTAGTGTGTGGAGTGGGCTTCTAAGAAGATCAAATTAAGGAGTTTGCTAAGGTTTTGAATTGCTTAACTAAGAAATTACCTTTCTCTTTCCTAAATTTCCCTTTAGGGGCCAATCCTAGGAAACAGAGTACTTGGAACCCAGTTGTGCAGAAGGTGAAGAAAAAGCTGTCCTCTTGGAAGAGGAAGCTACTATCATATGTTGGGAGGTTAACTGTGATCAAGGCAGTCCTTGGTAATTTGCCAATCTATTTTCTTTCTCTCTTTAGAATGCCTAAGAGTGTTGTTAAAGCCTTAGACAAGTTGCAGTCATCCTTTTTGTGGGGAGGGAATGTTAATAAAAGGAAAATGCACTTGGTCAAATGGAAGGAGATCACAAAAAGTAAAAGTCAAGGAGGTTTGGGTGTGAGAGATTTAGGTGAGGTGAATGAATGCTTGTTATTAAAGTGGTGGCGAAGGTATGGTAATGAAGATACAACTTTGTGAAAAGCAGCGGCTTGTTCAAGGTATGGTAGGAATGGAGGAGGTTGGCTTCCAGTTCTGAGCCTTTCAGGTGGGATGTCTATAGTGTGGTTAGACATTGTGAAACTGCTCTTAGGAAATCAGTAATTGGGTGAGTTCTATGGTGATCATTTTAGAATTAAGGTTGGGAATGGAGGGAGAATTAGGTTCTGGCAGGATAAATGGCTTAACAATAGAGACTTACAGGTTCAATTCCCTAGACTCTATAGTTTATCCACTGAGAAAGAGGAGACCCTTCAGCAAATTAGTGCTAAGAAGAATAATCTGGGGCTATGGCAGCTTAAATTTAGAAGACAGTTATTTGTATGGGAAATTGAGGAGCTACAGATACTGATGGATCTGTTGGAAACATCTACATTGGTGACGTCTGATAATGTTGATTCTTGTTCTTAGTTAGTAAATAGCTCAGGTCTATTTTCAGTCTCTTCTGTGAGAAGATGGTGGGATGCTACAATAGGGACTGGTCAGGTTGTGCCTAAAGGTGTATGGGTCGGTTTAGCTCCGCCAAAAGTGCAGTTCTTTTGCTAGTTGGCTTGGAGAGGCAAAGTTAAGACTGCAACCTTTCTTCAGAGGATTGGGGTGCTACCTGTATCAGCAAATAATATGTGTGTGTTTTGCCAAGCTGAAGTGGAATCCTTGAATCATGTGCTCCTGTTTTGTCCACTGGTGTGGAAATGTTGGTCTCAAATGGTAAGATGCAGTGATCTGGTTTGGGCAATCCCTGGATCAGTTCAGGGCCTTTTACAGTGGTGATCGGCTGTAAGAGTAAGCACTGGCTTTCTAGATTATGGGAGATAGTTCCATCTGTTATGTTATGGTCTGTATGGAGGTTGCGAAATGAATGTATATTCAAAGGGGTACAACCCAATTTTGATGATTTATGTGATAAAGTGAAGGTACAGATTGCTCTGTGGGTAAAATGGAGTTTGAAGGTTGATTATTCAGTTGATGATATTGTTTTCAACTTCAATCAGATTAGGTTGTCTATTCAGGCCCTCTGTAATTCTGTTTCAGGTCCTCTACTTTAGGGTGTTTGATTCAGCTGCTTCAATGTGTGTTATTAGATGCTTCAATGGAGGCTTAAATGGTCTGGACTATTATGTTGGTGGGTTGTTTATCAATGCATGGAAGCAGAGCTCTGTTTGGTGTTGCAGGTGTGTTCTCAGAGTTGTTTTTCCGATTGATTGTTTGCTGAGTGCTTGGCAGAGCTCTGATTGATTATTTGTAGAGCTCTGTTTGCTGATTGTTTGCTGTAAAGTGAATGGAGATCAGTTGATATTCTGATTAGAAATTGTAGATATTCATTTGCATTTGAAGGGAGATCATGGTTTCAGTGGGGTGTTTTTTGGTGGGATGCAACTGATGGGTGTTTTTTAGTGGAATGCAACTGCTTTAGTGAGGACTGTAACTAGTTTTTGGTAGTCTGCTGCTAGGTAGCTCTTCTACTGGTTTACGACTGATCTGGTCTGCTGTACTGGTCTGGTGCTGCTGTGTTTGGACTGGTTGCTGCTGTGTAAGGAGTTCATGCTGGATGCTTGAATGGGCTGTGTGCTGTTATGCTTATTTGCTGGCTAAATGGGATGAATGTCAATGTGTTGGGTGGTTGTTTGGGCTGTATGCTAGTCTGTATGCTACTATGCTGTTGGAGTTGTCTCAGCTGCTTCTATCTAGTTTTTTGGTTATCTTTTTCTCTGTTTGTTGTTGTGGCAGTATCTTTTGCTTTCCTTTTTGTTGGTTTCCCACCAACTGGCACTTGGAGCTTTGTGTTAGCTCTGAGCTTCTCTTTATTGATGTACCTTATCATACCTTGTATGTTTTCATCAATAAAGATTTATTTGCCGATCAAAAAAAAAAAAATTCATTTTGGCTCTTTTTGTTGAACGAGCGACTGGGAATTTTGTGCACACATTAATGCTGTGTTTGGTTGGGAGATTTGAGGAGAAATTTGAAAAGGAAAATAGAAAAAGTAGTTGGAATGTGAATAAAATATACTTACATTTCACTTAATTTCACACATTTTTCCATTTTTCTTTCCAAATTTCTCTCCAAATCCCCCAACCAAACACAACGTAAGAAAAAAGTTGAAACAAAGTGAAAAGTAGAAACATGGTAGCATTCGGTGGTGCTACATGCACCAATTAGTGCACTAACTAGTGTACCAACTAGTGTTATGTCATTATTATTGATCCCACTTATTATACAAATTATAAATATTCAAAAATTTTAAAATTATGCCACATCATCTGTTAATACAGTAGTTAGTATACTAATTGATACATATAATATTATTCTAGTAGCATTTAATCAATGGCTCATTTGGTTCATGATATGGAATTAAAATGTTTTTTATTCGCCAAAACCATCACTTTTGGCTACTAAATTATTTTAGTCGCCAAAAACAGTCACTTTTGGCTACCAAAAAACCTTTAGTCGCTAAAACCCCTACATTCTGCGACTAATTTGCCTTTTAGTCGCTAAAAGCCTGGTATTCGGCGACTAAACTATTTTAGTCGGCAAAAGGTTTCAATTTTGGCGACTAAATCCATTTTAGTCGCCAATTATACAACTTTCAGCGACGAAAAATGAATTTTTAGTCGCCAAAAATGTTTTTTCTTGTAGTGGCGGCAGTAATTTATTGATTCTATTTTGAAGTTAGTAGAACAAATAAATTTTCTTCTTTATTAACGAGAATCAGAGGCAATTGTAATTCAATGAGTAAGGCGGTAAAATGTTTATAAAATGTGTATAAAATGAGTTGCACAAAATAAAAGGGGGCAAAATGTTTATAAAATGTGTATAAAATGTTTATAAAAGGTTTGGGCAATCTTCCAACACATAAAAATAAAAAAGTATATAAAATGTGTTGCCCAAAATAAAAGGGGGAAAAAAAAAAAAAGAGTAAGGCGGTAAAATGTTTATGTATTTTGCTACTTTTCAACGACGCATAATTGCCTATTCAGACAAGGTGTTCAATCAAATTCTCCGTATTTCAAACGTAGAAAAAAGAAAAGGACAGTATTGTGTCATTAATAAATGACAATTAGCTCTGAAATTCATTTTCTTGTTAGTTTCTTCTTGTCCCAGAGCACGAACCATCCGCCATGAAGCTTTCATTCGTAGTTAGAAAATGAGTACTACAAGAATTTTAGATGACCGGGATTGGAAGATTGTAATTAAAATAAGTATGAAACTTGGAAGCTAACAGATGTTCTATAGTGTCCTTGTTGAATATACCATTATTTATTTATTTTTTTTAAAGTACCAATGATTGAATTATATTTCTGTTTAATGGTTGGACAAAAAATGATTGACGAAGAAATGGTCCTCCATATGACATAGCTGTTTTGGCCTGCGACCTAAACAAGAAACACTGATCTTGATTTGTTGCATGAAACCAAGTTTCAAAGACAGGTTGTAACTAGTAACTTTCCTAATCATTATGCTTAACTTTACTAATTATGTTGTTTTTGTCTCTCTTTATTGACGTGTCCTATTCGATTGAAGATATTTTTTAAGCATTACCCTTGACTTAAACTAGTTTAACTTAAATTTAGTAATATAAGTTTAATACCAGTACGCTATCTTCTTCTCTTTCTTCTCCTCTTGTTTTTGGTGACTAACAAGGTTATATATAAATTATAATTAATCCATTCATTATCTGTCACATTCAAATACGATACAGTTGGATTATCGATCTTATCATTTAGAAGGATATTCTTGATTTTTGGCGTGACAAATCCTTTTTGCTGGATTTTAATGATGTGGAATTTACATACAGTAAGCTCTATTAATCAAGACAAATATAAGGTCTCCTATAAAGTTAATCGAGGAAAGTTACAAAAATGTAACAGGTCAGTTCCATTGTGTAAATCCATCTTATAGCATATATGTATTATATAATTAATACAAAAAAAATGTAACTGGTTAGTGAGACTGCTAATTCATCTTATTATAATATAATGTTTCATGTCTAGATCAAGCCAAGTGATATATAAATTTTTGTAATCCTAGAAAAATTCTAAAGAACGTGGTTTTTTTTTTTTTTTTTTAATTGGAAAAATATGAAAGCAACAAGCCAATTTACAACCTTAAGGGATTTCCACCAAAACTCCATTTTCATGGAGCACACTTTGGCTTCAATTTCCCATTCACTCGGTAATGGTTTTGAGCAACCAAATATACCACGTGAATCACAACGCGGCATAGAACGCGTTACCACTTTGACCCGAGTTAATAGACACTCGGGGCCCACCTAAAAAATAGACCTAACTTAGGAAAAAATTAACCATTTCCAACATAAATTATAATTAATCCATTCATTATCTGTCACATTCAAATACGATACAGTTGGATTATCGATCTTATCATTTAGAAGGATATTCTTGATATTTGGCGTGACAAATCCTTTTCGCTGGATTTTAATAATATGTGAAATTTACATACAATAAGCTCTATTAATCAAGACAAATATAAGGTCTCCTATAAAGTTAATGGAGGAAAGTTACAAAAATGTAACAGGTCAGTTCCACTGTGTAAATCCATCTTATAGCATATATGTATTATATAATTAATACAAAAAAAATGTAACTGGTTAGTGAGACTGCTAATCCATCTTATTATAATATAATGTTTCATGCCTAGATCAAGCCAAGTGATATATAAATTTTTGTAATCCTAGAAAAATTCTAAAGAACGTGGTTTTTTTTTTTTTTAAAATGGAAAAATATCACATCAAGGAATTGAGTTTAATAAAATAGTAAACCAAAAAATTGGCATTCAGTGAACATGATACTGGCATTGATTTTCTATAATTAGTATATTATATTATAACTAATAAAGATAATTTCACAGTTACAATCAATTAAATCTGTGAACTACTTGCACCTCCATCATCAATGAGACCTATTAATTAATTTATTTTTATTTTTTTGAATCCTCTCTCTCTCTCTTTTAAGGAAAAATTATATTCGCAGTTCTGATATTTTTATCTTTATATCATTTTGATCCCTATAATTTTAATTGACTCGATTTTGACTTTGAAGTTTATGATTTTGTCTTAATTTGGTCCAATTGATCATAATTTTTAGAGTTTATTGATGAAAAATGTGCACATAAGTGATATGTTTTATGTTGTTATGTACAAAATTATAAATTTGTTCTACTCAGTGAGTTAACTTCAACTAACTCATTAATAATTTTCCTTGAAAGATTTTAGTCAGTGTTTTTTAATTGGACTAAATTGACTTAAAATCTACAATTAAGAGTCACAATCGAGCGAATTGAAATTATAAAGACAAAAATGACACAAGAAAAATGCAGGGAATATCAATGTAATTTATCCCTCTTTTAATGCAATTATTTGATCAATTCAACACAATTTTTGTTAAATTCTT